ATACAGCAGAAGTGGTTACAAGGGACACTCCCACCAGGAGTACAGAGTGTTCCAGTTGTTCTGTGTCCTTGTAAACATGTGCTATTGTCAGTTAAAGACATTATTTTTTAACAATGATTCATAAAATTTACAGCAATCAAAATTACATTTAAAGGCCTTAACAGCTCTTTTCTTCCATTAACAATGGTAACCTTGACATTTTTTTCTGACAATGTGACTGGATTTTGAATCCAAAAGAACTCAGCCACATCAAGTATTCCAAAACCACAAACTCTCATCCAGTTTGGGGATGGGTGGTTCACATTGCCGCCAGCTGGAGTGTCACCAAAAGTCCCTGAGAGCTGCAAATGAACAGATTTCTCATGACTGTGTGAAGACAAAGATCTCTTCTCCCCTCTGAGGGTCCCACTCTTATGACTCATGGGGGGACCACTCACTGGCCGGGGTGCAACATGTGTCATTGCCACGTGCCTGGCTTGGTACAGTCATGCTACTAATTCATCATCTCAACCAGCAAGCCCAGGAGGTAGCAGATATGTCATTGTCCCTACAGTACACAGGAGGAAACTGAGGTCCCAGAAGGTCAGGGACTGTCCCCCGTGAAGCCAGAAGCCCTTTGTAGAGCCTTGCTCACCAAGGCCACCTTCTGAGAACAACATCCCGCTGGAGGGCTGCAAGTGCTCCTATAAAGGGAGGAACAGGAGACCCCAAAACTGAACTCCAAGGGGCCACATGAATGAGGCAGCTGTCAGAAGTTAAGTGAACATCTGGAGAGGCAAATGCTATGGCCTTAGATCCTAGAATCCCCGTCTCAGTTTCCTGTTCTCTGTGTATCTCTCTCTCCTCTCCCATCCCTGTGTCTGGTCTCAGCCCCCTCCCTCTCCTCCCCTTCCTGTCTCACCTGCCTCTCTCGTCAAGCTGAACCATGCAACTGGAAGATTCTACATATACACAGTCTCCTTGTCTATCGACAAGATATATATTCTCTATTTTAAACTTTTAAACCAGGTGAATTTAATCTTTTATGTCTTTTGAAAACAAAACTAAAAACTAATCAGGTTGCTCTGCAACTTTCAGGTGGTGGACTCTGGGCAAATTACCTACCATTCTGTGCCTCAGTTTCCTCATCTGTAAAATGGTGATGATAACAGTACCTATTGTGAAGATGAAATGAGTTGATGCATATAATCAACTTTACCCTTTTCACCTTCTTTTGATAGCTTTATTGAAGTTATAATTAATATACCTTAAAATTTACCCTTTCAAAGTGCATAATTCAGGGGTTTAGTCGATTCACAGAGTCGTGAACCCATCATCATGATGTGATTCTAGAACATTTTCATCACCCCCAAAAGAAACTCATGAGCAGTACTCCCCATCTCCCAACCCCTTATGCCCTTGGCAACCAGTAATCTATTTTCTGCCTCCATAGATATGCTTATTCTGGACATTTTATGTAAATGAAATCATGCAATACCTGGTCTTTCAAAACTAGCTTTTTAACTTGGCATAATGTTTTTAAGATGTCGAGGTTCCCCCACGTTGTGCCAGGTATCAGCACTGCGTTTCTCTCTCTCTCTCTTTCTTTTTTTTTTGAGTGTATGTGTGTATATGTATATACTTTATTTTTTCTTCTTGGTGCTTTAAAAAATTTCCTAAAATTTCTTTTTTCCTCAACTTTATCGGGGTATAACTTGCACAAAAAAATCATGCATACTTACTTAAGGTGTGCAACGTGAAGATTTGGTACACCTACACATTGTGAAATGATTACTATATTCAAGCTAATTAGCATATCATCACTTCTTATAGTTTACCTTTTTTGTGTGTGGTGAGAACACTTAAGATCTACTCTCTTTTTTTTAATTTTTTTTTTTTTTTGAGGGGAGGAGGTAATTAGACTTACTTGTCTTTAGAGCAGGTGCTGGGGATGGAACCCAGGACCTTGTCCATGCTGAGCATGCGCTCTACCACTTGAGCTATACCCTCACCCCAAGATCTATTTTCTTAATATGAAAACATGAATATATGTATGTTCATGTATGACTGAAGCATTGTGCTGTACACCAGATATTGACCCAACACTGTAAACTGACTATACTTCAATAAAAATACATATATATATAAGAAAAAAAAAGAGATATCACCCAGAAAAAAAAAGATCTACTCAGCAAATTTCAAGTATACAATATAGTAATTTTTTTTAATAGAAGTACTAGGGATTGAATCCACGACAGAAAAAACCCAGTGTCCATTGCTGGATGAATGGATAAAGAAGTTGTGGTATATGTACACAACGAAATATTATTCATCCATGAAACAAGGAAATCTTGCCATTTGCAAAAATATGGATGAAGCTGGGACATTCACTATGCTAAGTGAAATAAGCTGGACTAAGAAAGACAATAACGTACGATTTGACTTATATGTGGAATCTAAAAAAAGTTGAAGTCAAAGAAGCAGAGAGTGAAATGGTGGTTGCTAGGGGCTGGGGTAGGGGCAGTGGGGGAAATGGGGGAAATACTGGTCAAAGGATAAACAGCTTTAAAAAGTGCACATTGCCTGAACATACTCAGTGTCTGCATGTCATGAAGAGACATTTTTTATCCTCCCTGTGGGCGAGTGGTCCTCAATTTTAAAGCTTCCACGTTGTAGTAGAGACTGTCTGTACTTAACCCTGTGATTATACCAGGAGCACCTCTCACCTGGAGTCACCAGTGGTTAAGCAGGTCTTTTCCACTTAATCAGCATAGTGATGATTCACCACGGAGAGGAGGCAAGTGAGGAGTTCAAGACAAGCGAGCACCTGGATCCTGGAGGAGACTTGCTGGAAGGTTGTAACCGAGAAGTGGGTCTTGAATCTTCTCCTGTATTGGGTGATACTGACTCTGGAGCAGTAGATCCACACCCACACTTAACTTTGGGGAGCAGTTAATTGCTGTCTTAGTTCTGCCAACCATAACAAAAACACCATAGACCAAGTGGCTTATACAACAGAAGCTGATTTCTCACAGTTTTGGAGGCTGGGAAGTCTGAGATCAGGGTGCCTGCCTGGTCAGGTTCCAGTGAGGGCCCTCTTCCTGGTCTGCAGGTGCCAGCTCCTCGCAGTGTCCTCACTTGGGAGAGACAACAAGCTCCAGGCTCTTACTCTTCTTAGAAGGATGCTAATCCCATCATGGGGACCCCACCCTCATGACCTCATGGAACCTCCTTACCTCTAAAGGCCCCACCTCGTAATACCATCCCATTGGCAGTTACAATTTCAACATAAGAATGAGGGATACACAAACATGTAGAACAGAATTGCTACCTGATTGATAACAATCAGTTGTCTCCTCTCTGCCTTTTGTATTGTGACTATTTGATGGACCAGCCTGTCTTCCTTCCAGGCACTGAGCTGCTTGAGGGATGGGGACTACCTTGAATTCACTGCTCCTGGCACCTTCAGTCAAAGTTTGTTGGGAAAAAAAAAAGAGCCATCAATCAGCAATCTAGACCTTCCTTTTTGAAAATGTATTCGTTAGTAAAAACTCTTCAAGTTGTCTCAGAAAACTGCTTTCGTTCAAACACACTGGACACGCTTAAAAATACACTCAGAACAGATGGAAATTTTTTTATTTTTTATAAAAAAAAATTTCCCCCCTTAATGGAGGCACTGGGGATTGAACCCAGGACCTTGTGCACACCAAGCATGCGCACTACCACTGAGCAATACCCACTTATCCCCCAGAAATTAAAAAAAGTTGGTTTCAGTGTTTGATGGTATGCAGTCTCTCACCACCCAGTAATTTATGTGACAATAACCACAGAAAACACCCTATTTAGGTTTAGAAATATTTAAACAGATAATCCATTTCCGACTTTGACAGTTAACACATACAGGACTTTCAAAAAATAGAATAACAATACATTTCAAGAAGACAAATTGAAAAATCAGTCTTGATAGAATCAAAGGCTGATAGAATAAAGGCCTACCTAACTCTCTCTAAGGACATGCAGCTTTATTGAAGGCTCACTGACTTGGAGGAAAATGTCTGGAGTCTACCACAAGTAAGAAGCAGTCTAACGTAGTTTTTATTTCTTTACAGAAATACGCAAATATGCCCTGAATTAAATTGCTTCTAACTCCAAGGTCTATTAGGGCAGGGACCCCGTTCCCCAATTCAATAGTACTTTCTCTGCTGAGAAAAATGCTGCAGACGAAATGACATTTGAAATGGGTATTTACATTTTAAAAATCATTTTTATCTTACTACATTTCTTAAGAGCAACATTCACCTCATGTCTGGAATAGCCAAGCACTATAGAGATGAATGTCCTAATCAAGGCAGAGCCCAAATCAGCAGCGTCCATAGTTGTTTGCACAGGAAGGAGTTCGTTCTCTGTGAATTTTAGAGGGAAAGAATGACTTAATAATAATACCTCTTCATTGAAAAGCCAAGTGTCTGTCTCCGCCGTGCACACTGCCTTACGCGGTTCCCCACTCGCTACTTCAATCATGTATGTTTCCAGTCACGTGGGCATGAACCCTGCCTTAGTGACGGCGGGAACCTGGTGTAGAAGTGATCTATCTCTTAAGGATTACGTGGGCAGCAAGGTGACCAGCGCTTTCCGTATCAGGAAGCAAGGGGGTCCCGCTGCCCAGGGAGCATGCTCTCTAGCCAGGAAGCGTTTCAATTTCAAGAAAAACCACACCCTGACCAGCCACCCTACAGAGTCAAGGTGAAAGCAGGTGACAATGTTTTACACGAGAAACTCCATTCCTAGGGGCACCTCGCCCGCCAAAGAGGCACCTGCGTTTGGTGAAGCTGGTATTGAGCAAAGCAGCAAAGTGCTCAGAAGGGACGCGTGTGGCAGAGAGGTCCGCAAGGTACCCGGTCCGGAATCTCGACCCCGCGGACCCTCCAGGCCTGGAACCCCTGCCTGGAAGGTGCTGGGGCCAGCTTTGGGTCAGGACCCCTTAGACTTTGACTTT